AATATTTAGATCTTTAATCCACTTCAATCTTAGTTTAGTGCATGGTGATAGGTATGGGACTAGTTTTAATCTTAGGCAGGTTGAAATCCAGTTTTTCCAACACCATTTATTAAATAGGCTATCTTTCCTCCAATGATGGTGGTTGGCTCCTTTGTCAAAGATGAGGTGGCTGAGCGTGTCTGGAGTTGTTTCTACATCTTCTAATCTATTCCACTAATCCTCAGGTCTGTTCCTTTGCCAGTACCATGCTGATTTTATCACAGTAGCTTTGTAATATAGTTTCAAGTTGGGGACTGTGATACCCCCAGCCATGCCTCTGTTGCTTAGAATTGCTTTAGCTATTCTAGGTCTCTTATGGTTCCAAATGAATTTTTGGATTGTTTTCTCTAGTTCTGTGAAGTATATCATTGGCTAGTCTTAAGGCCCCCTTCTCCATTCTTTTTTAGCCTTATAGCTCAAAGAAGATATTTCTAAAAGTTGTGCAGTTGCCAATACTGATTTGAAAGCACTTCCTGGGTCCGCAAGTTTGTAGAGTTTGGAGCAACTACATAGGATGTCTCTCATCCAGAAAGACATACCTGTAGCCTGGAATAGACTAGGCAAGGCAGAATGAGTATATTTCTGGTCAGTTCTGGGCTAACCAGCACATTTCATGGGATCAGAGGGAATGAAGGAAATAAACAATGAAACTATCTCCTGAAAGCTACTTAGAAGCTCAACCCGACCCTTAGGCTGGCAACCTCCTGACCCTCAGCACTCACCTCTATCAAGGACCTGGCCTGCTGCAGATCAAGAGTAAGGTCAGTCTGAGACCATGGCACACACCTGTAATCCCAGCTACCTTGGCGACAAAGGCAGGATGATCACAAGTTCAAGATCAGCTTGGACAACTTAGTGAGAGCCTGTTTCAAAAAACAAACAGGGCTGAAGACGAAGGTCAGTGGGAAGTTCCTGGGTTCAGTGCCAGTACAATAATAACAAAGAAGAGCAAAGTCAAAGAATATGAGGAGAAGACAATGAGGCAAAAGGGAAAGAAAATGCAGTGGGGAGACGGAGAGAGGGAAGGGAATGAGAAAAGTGAACTGGCAGTAAGTGGAAGATGGCATGATTCAGAGAGTAAGAAAAAGAAAACATTTGATTTGGGGCCAGGGTGGGAGATGGGAAGGGGAGAGAAAAAGGAAGAAAATGTAAACATCTTCCCTGGCCAACAAAGGTATCTACCAGATTTTCTCTGCCCAAGGATAGTTCATAATACAGAGAAAGAACGTATAATGAAGATGTCATTTCTAAGAGATCTGGACAAAAATCTAAATATCAAACAAAAACAAAAACATACACACCAACAAATACCCTTTCTGTACTCTAAAAGTCATCTACTCACACCTGAAGAGTTCACTCCACTCAAGTGGAGACACTTCCTGAGCCTGAATACAGGGGTTTACGTACGGGATCCACGATGTACCCAGGTTCCTCAAGCCAGCTGTCAGATGAAAGAAACCAAAGCCACCATCAAGCATGAGAAAACACCATTGCAAACACTGTCTCTGCGCCCAGAGCCTCTCAAAAGCAGCTCCAACAAGGAGCACAGACATCCTACAAAGAGGTGCAGGGCTATGTCCTGATGGTAGAGGAAAAGGGCTGTGCCTGTCTTAGCCACTTCTGCATCCCCTAGGCACACACACAAAGTAAGCTCGCTATAGGGGAGACTCAATAAGGCACCAACAAATGAATGAAGAAACAGCCACTGTACTGGGAAGAGGGGAAGGCAACTCTCCCATATCACTGGAAAATAAACCCTCCATCCCCATAGGGTGGGGAGGGAGCGAGGAGTGCAGATCACTGTACTGGCAGAAGACTCAGGAAACCTGGATTTGTGCTCCATCTGCATCTACCACTGATGAACTTAGGGAAGTCCCTTCACTAATGTCTCTTTTCCCAGGTAAAAATGAGATTCATGATTCTGTATAACTACATCAAGGGGTTATAGTGAATATTAAAGGAAATGAGCATAAAGAGACTTTAAAGAGGGGAATTCCCTTATAAATAGAAGGAACCAGTAGCACTAGGAGGCACAGTGAAAAAATTGATGTAAATGGTACAGATCACCAAAAACACAACAGCCCAACTGCTCAGACCACCTCTGCTCCCAACACCAAACCACCTCCTGACTGAGTGACCTTCTAATATGTATTATGTGCCCCGAAGTGTTTTTATCATAACCAAAAGCTCAATTTCCACTAAACAAATATTCAGTGCTTTCTCTATGCCAGGACACTAGGAAAAGGAGGCTGAAAAAGACATGATCTCTGATTTTAAAAAGAGTTGACAGGAGTTGCCATGGTCTGAATGTTTATGTTCTCTAAGGAGGTAAGGTCTTTGGGAGGTGATTACATCATGAGGACAGAGCTTTTATGAATAAGATTAGCACCCTTCTAAGAGAAGCCCAGGGGAGAACTAACCTTCACCTCTTCCACCATAAGAGAGAAGTTGGAGGTCTGCAATCCAGAAGACAGCCCGCACCACACTCCAAATCTGCCAGCACCTTCATCCTGGATACCTGTCTCCAGAACTATGAGAAATAGGCTTCTGATAAAAGACACCCATTTATGGCATTTTGTTATAGCACACAAACAAACTAAAATAAATGTAAAGATCTGAATTTTGAAAAACAAGCAGAGGTGCCTGTTATTTCTAGTTTTTAATACTTCAAGCAAAAGCTAAAGCACTGATCAAAATTGTTAAGTGGCTTCATGCTGCCATCAGAACCCTGTCCATCTATACAACAGAGGCCAAGGATCCTGTACCAACTCAGCATTTCCTCACAGAATACAGAGAAGTCAGTTGGCTAATGCAGGGACCAGCTCACTGTTTTCATTACTGTTTCAATAGCTCTGATCCACTCAGTATTTTTTAGGCTTTAGGGAGATCTTTATGCCCTGTACTGAGTCCATGTTTAAAGATAAACACAAAGTGATGGGAGGCCATAAGACAATGGATAAGTTGGCTAACCTTTTAAATTTCAAGTTAGTTTCCAAAAGAAAAGAGCATAAAACTCACCAATTCCCTCATAAAGTGGCAGCCATAGGGATCTAAACTGAGCCACTCCTGGATGGTGAGTCAGTCTCAGATGGTGGCTGAACCTACCACCTTCTAAGAGCCACACAGGCAGTATCACAACACCAGTGACAAAGAAAAATACAAAATTAATCATGGTCATAGCCAAATGCACAGTACAGGGCCCGAGGCAATCATGGCTGAAAAATGAATAGTCAGAAAACAACCTGAACTCTCCCAATAAACATCATCTTAGAGCACATCAAACTCTGAATCCCCTATGTCTTCTTCCATAAACCTCCCTCTTATTGCTTCTGTCCAACCTTGTGCTCCAATAAAACAACACCTTCCTTGGTTGTATACACCTGTTTCTTTTGCCCTTCCAAGCCACTCCCTTTGCAGAGAAAGGGAGAGGGGAGACTACATTTATAACACTCACCACAGTAGATATTGGTTCTCCCATTTACAGATGAAGAGACTGAAAGGCTAAAAGGACCAATCTCCTGCTGACAAGCCCCACAGAGAAAGAGCCCATATTCACATTCAAGTTTGTCTCAGCCATGATAGAACTCTTACTACCATTAGGCCTCCCATGCTAACTCAGCTGCCTTCATCTTGTGCACACTCAGAATAACCTTCTGGTCCATTTATCGTGAGAAACCTTCTCAGACAATTATTAGAAGTGCTTTTTCCATGGTCTGATTAATAGATACCACCTTATGCTCAAGAAATCCTCTTTCCTCGTACATACAGACAAGCACAATGTCATGTAATATAATAGAGGGAATAAATATGTTGTGGAGAAAGAGGTTATTAATATATAAAATAGTCAAATGTCTTCTATATAAAAAGACCCTAAGGACTCTCCTCCTCCAGAGAGTTCTGGAAGCACTATGAGCAGCCTTCTCTGTGCTTGTGGCTGGCACACCATGCTCCCCCTTGGCAGTGTTCCTCCATGCTGAAGGCCCTACCTCCATAGGACAGAAGGCAAAGGAAGGCAGAGGGGGAGACTACCCACGTAAGTATCCACAGATCCCCCCCAAATGATACTCAGAGTTCACTAAAAGCACAAGTTTGGATTTGATGGTCTCTCACTGCTGTATCGTGAAGCAGGAAAATGTTAGAACAGGCACAAACAGAGCTGACATCTTCATTCTAAATGCAAAGCTAATTCATTTTAATCCCTGATATATTCAGTACAAAGTTACATCTGTAACAGCAAAAAGTATATGCAAGCTTTGTAACTTATTCTTAAAAAGACTCCTCACTTTGATGAATTTCTGACCCTTTTCTAAGTTCTGCATAATCAAAAGATATACGTAGTTTCTCCCCCAGCACTTTCTTCTCCAAGAGGATACTGTTGATTTGCAAACACATTTGATCACAAGATGATTTTCTGGTCAGAACTAACCACACCTTCAAAGCATTAGCATTTTGGTGAAAATGCAGTTTTTCCCAGAAAGTCACTCAAATTAAAACAAAAGAACCACCAACCTTAATCACTGCTGTCAGATGCCAGCAAATTCAAGTTCAGAAAGGGTTTAGGACAGTGTCAGGTAATACCGCAAGATCCATTCTTTATGAGATCTTGCAAAACTCCCTCCTCAGAGACAGTGCCAAGCCAGAGAGGTAGGATGAGGTCTTTGGCTATTTTTGTTGTTGTTTACCTGTTTATGAAACATGTCCAGGCCAGGCATGTCAAAGCACAAAAGACAGCAAGAAAAATAAAAAGGAACAAAAGAACTTCAAAACAGAAAATAATTTTTAAAATAGTAAGAGTAAATTATTACCTATCAAAAATTAAATGTAAATGAACTAAATTCTGAAATCAAAAGATGCAGAACGGGTGAATGGATATTTAGGAAAAAAAGGCCTAACTATATGCTTCCTATAAGAGATCCACATCCACATCAAGGATACACATAGGCTGAAAGTGAAGAGATGAAAAAAGATATTCCATGCAAATAGAAAACAAAATGATATAGAATGCTTATATCAGACAAAACATACTTTCAGTCAAAAACTATAACAAGAGTCTGGACATTATATAATCATAAGTGAGTCAGTTCTAAAGGATACAATAATTGCAGATATAAATGCACCAAATATCAGATAACCTAAAAAGGCAAATATTAACAGAACTGAAGGAGGAAATAGACAAAAAATGACTCATTGAACTTGAACTACATCCAGACCAAATAGACGTAACAGACATATACAGAATGTTCTATGCAATAGTGGAAGTATACACATTCTACTCAGGTGTGCACAAGACATTCTCCGGGATAGAGCAAACATTAGGTCACTAAAATGAGTACTAACAATTTTTAAAATACTGAAAATATTCTCAAGTATCTTTTCTAACCACAATGACATGAAACTAGAAATCAGTAACAGGAACAAAAATGGAAAATTCACAAATATGTACAAATTAAACAATATACTCCTTAACAATCAATGGGTCAAAGATGAAAGAAAAAGGGAAATCACAATATATCTTGAGACAAAAATGGAAACATATACAAAAATCTTACAGGATTCAGCAAAAAACCATTCTAAGAGGAATGTTTGTAGCAATAAATGACTTAAGGAATAAAGTATCAAAAAACAAACTAATTTTATATTTCAATGAACTAGCAAAAGAAAACAAAGCATGCCTAAAGTGAACTGAATGAAACAAATAACAAAGATCACAGTAGAAGGAAATGGAATAGAGAGGAGAGAAACAATTGATAAATCCAGAAAAAGAATTTTTTGTTGTTTTGGGGGGTTTTTTTGGTACTAGGGATTGAACTCAGGACCTTGTGCTTTCGAGGCAGGTGGCGGAACCACTGAACTAAATCCCCAGCCCAAGAATTTGCTTTTTGAAAAGATGAAAACTGACAAGCCTTTAGTTATACTAAGAAAAAAAAAGAACACTCAAAATCAGAAATGAAAGAGACATTATTTCTGATTTCACAGAAATACAAAGGATCATAAGATCACAGGCACTAATGATCTTAAAAAACTAGTTTGAGAGATAAATAAACAGGATATCTGGGCCAGGGATTTAGCTCAGTGGTTCTGCTGCCCGCCTTGTAAGCACACGGTCCTGAGTTCTATCCCCAGTACAAATAAATAAATAAATAAATAAGATATCTAAGAAGAAATGAAAGAATTCCAAGAAACATACAGTGTACCAATAGTGAATCATGAAGAAATTAAAAATCTGAATCGACCAATAATGAGTAAAGACATTGAATTAGTACTCAACAATCTTTGATCAAAGGATCAGATAGATCTACTAGTGAATTCTACCAAACACTTAAAGAAAAGTTAATATCAATCCATTTCAAACTCTTACAAAAATGTGAAGAAGGAACACTTCCAATCTCATTTTAAAAGTACAGCAGCAACCTGCTGCTGAAGCCAAACAGGGACGTAACAAGAAAAAAAAAAAATTACAAGCCAAATCTGTGATAAACATAGAAAAATCTTCAGTAATATAATCCAAATTCAACAGCACTTTCAAAAGATAATTAAACATGATCAAGTGGATAACCATCATTCTAATGCATGAATGGCTCAACATACGAAAATCAATAAATGTGATACCGCACATTAACATAATAAAGGATAAAGATCACATGATCATCTCAGTAGATATGGAAAAGTATACGACAAAATTCAACATACTTTTATGATAAAACCCTTCAACAAGTACAAACAGAACCAGTGTACCCAAGTGATAAAGGCCACATATGACAAGCTGTAAGCATTATACTCAATGAGATGAGGAATAAGGCACCAAACTCACCCCTGAGACTTCTATTCAACATAATACTACAAACCCTAGCCAGATCAAACACTCAAGAAAAAGGAATAAAAGGCATCCAAGTTGGAAAGGAGAGAGAAAAATCATGATTGCAAATGCCATCATCCTGAACACATAAAACTCCCTAAAGACTCCACCAAAAATGTTACACTAATAAGTTCAATAAGGCTTCAAGACACAAAATATAAAAAATCAGCTATGTTCCTGTTTATTAACAATGACCTATCCTAAAAAGAAATTGAGGAAACAATTCCAAGTACAGCATCAAAAAGAATGAAATAATTAGGAATAAATTTAACCTGGGAGGTTGAAAATCTCCATACTGAAAACTATAAAACTTTAATAAAATAAATTGCAGAAACAACTAAATAGAAAGATATTCTATGCTCATGGATTGGTAGAAATTATATAGTTAAAATATCCATACACCCCAAAACAAATTCCAGATTCAATGCAATCCCTATCAAAATACCAATACATTTCCCACAGAAGAGAAAAGACAATCCTAAAATTCATATGAAACTACAAAGGGCTGCAAATAGCTAAAGCTATCATGAGAAAAAAACTGGAGGTATCACACTTTCTGAGTTCAAATTGTATCACAATACCATAGTAATTAAAACAGTATGATACTGGCACAAAAATAGAGACATATATCAACAGAATAGAATACAGTCCTGAGGGCCAGGGATTTAGCTCAGTGGTTCAGGTGCCTGCCTCACAAGCGCAAGGTCCTGAGTTCGATCCCCGGTACCAAAAAAAA